AGGTAAAATGGACCTCTGGGGACAAGCCCAGCTCTGCCTCCTCAGCATTTTCAGCCCCACAGACAGACACAGGCAGTGCTGAGATGGCCGAGGGTCGGGCACCCCCAGCAAACACCCACCTGCCTCAGCCAGACCCGGCCTGAGCGCTGGGCAGGGCTGCAGCTCCACGTGGGGGTAGAGTTGGGTGCCAGGAACAAACCCCACCCAGCTCCCACTGTCCCATGGGCAGCAGCACACACAAGAAGAGATGGGGGATCTGCCTTTTATCTCCAGCATTCCCATTTCCCTCAGCTGTGTGGTGTTACCCAGCCTGCCCCCTGGGCAGTTTTTAATGGGACACATGTGGTGAAAAACCCTTCCCAGGCAGAGCCTTCCCGTTTGGCCATTTCCAAAGGCACGGGGTGTAATGGCAATAACCGACTCCATGGAGTGATGTGCCCAGGGCAAAAACACACCTGGGGGAAAGAGAAATGTCGAAGAAATAAATGATCCCAAAATAGGTAGAAATATCACCCTTCATTTCCAACCCCAGCACAGCACATGGTGCCCTGGGAGAGTGGGCATGAGAGCTCCAGTGTTCCCAGTATTCCCAGTGGTGCAGAGGTGCTGCTTGCCCAGGGCCAGTAACAGAGTATTCAGTGCAGGGGCCAATTAGCAGCTCTTACGGCATTTGGGTAGTTCTCCAGTGCCGTGAACTGCCAGGAGAAGGGCAGCTGGGAAAGGTCTGGAACGCAGGGGAGCTGTGAGAGCCACGTCTCCTGGCTCGGGCAGCGCGCCGGCAGTCAGGGTTACAGAACATGGACACCCCGTGTCACATAGCAGGGTCAGTGTCACCGGCCCCACGGGCTACAGTTACACCACCTCAGCCCCGCAGAGGAACTCTGCCTGAGCCCTGTGGGCATCATCCCACCCCTGCCCGGGCATTCCCAACCCTCCTCTTCCATCCCGAGCATCGCACCCAGCGTCTAAAGGAAAAAAAAAAAAAAAAAAAAAAAAGACTTGCTCAAGACCTGCTGCTTTTTCCACGGTGAAGCAGAAACAGCAATTATCTGGTTCAGTCTGGTGCTGCTGGCCTGGAACATGCCATGACAACGTGTTTCTCGTTTCAAAGCCTCTTTTGTACTAGGACACAGTTCAAGGGATCTTGCAATGCCTGCATTTGTAAACACGCCGCACTTGCAGCTACACGCTCTGCAGATGAAAGCCAAGGCGGAGCACAAGGGCCCTCTCCCTGTGTCACGGCCGGGCACGGGGAGCTCCCCCTGCTCCCCCGCTGCAGGAGGACGTGCTGAATCAGGGCCTCGGCAGCCCCAGGGCTGGGCAACCATGCGTGGTCCTCAAAAGTCATGGCACGTTCAGAAAAATGGAGTCCTGGAAAAGGGTGGTGGGGGGGGAAAAAAATCCCAGCAAAAAATGTGCGTCACTGCAGATTATTTTAGGCCCTGGTCCATGCATAATGCAAATAAGCAGCTCCCGGGGTACATGCCTGTGAAAACCATCCAGTCCCACAGCACTCGGTTATAGGAGCTTTCCAAACAGGTGGTGAAAAGCTAAAATTATGTGTCTGTGTGTCCTCACCGGGGTTAGGAAAGGCCCTGGCTCCCGGGAAGGCTCTTCCCCTGCCTCCACAGGGCTGGTATGAAACGGGACCGAGACATTAAAAAATTCAGGAGCATTTCTTTCCTTTTGAGGCAATCCTGGGCTCCCTCTCACCAAACCACGCTCAGCACCCCCACAGCACCCTCTGATCTGCCTGAACCCACTGCCCCCTGGCACCCGCTCTTCACACACCCTGACTTCATAGTTTTGCTTTTTCTAAAAATCGTTGTATCCTCCTCGCCTGACTTCAAGGAGTCGCTCGGGAAGCCCTATTTATGGGTTGAAATGCTGCTGAAAGAGTTATTGCCGTGTTATTCAGCTGTTGTGCCAAGCCTGCATGGGGATCGGGTTTCTGCTGAAAGGGTGCCAGGCACGTCTTTTTCCAGGAACCAGCAGCCGTATTTAGCCTCCGGCTGCACATGAAAGACTGCAGTCGGAAACGTGACATTGTGTCAACATTTGAGGCAGGTCAGAGCTGGGTGAGACCATGAAAACAAGTCCGGGGAGCTCAGCACAGCCCGCCGGGGCTGCCCGGCGCTGGCGCCGTGCCGGGGGTCGCCCCTCCATCGCCCTCCCCCCCGGGATGCCCCCTTTGCTCCGGGATGCTCTGCCCGCGGGGGTGGGCAGGGCAGGGCAGGGGGGCAGCCCCTGCCACCACAGGGGCAGCCCCTGCCCCGCGATGTGCCTGCTCCGCCCCGCAGCACTCACCTGTCCCGCTGGCCCCCCGCCAGGGCAGCGGAGAAAATCCCTGGCCCGTAATTATCCTTTGCTTCCTGGATAAACGTTCTCCCTTCCACTTTTTTTTTTTTTTTTTTTTTTTTTTTACAATTTCCCCTCCCCATAACTGAGGATGCTGTGAGTCCTACCATCATAGGACAAAGTGGGTCAGGAGATGGGGACCAAAGGAAAGCGAGAGCTGCGGAAAGGAGCCAGAAACCCAGCGGGTCCTGAGGCTGGAGGTGCCCCGTGCTGAACACCAAATGCTGTCCCCAAAGGAGGTTACTACAGTTGCCTTCAGTGAGATCAATATTTAGCCCTAATTAAAACAAACACAACATGAACGCCAGGAAGTGTGAAGGCCCCAAACACATTAAGCAGCCCTGCACTTTTTTCTAGTATTACTTAAGCTAACATTTCTTTGAGCTAATTCTAACCACAGTCTAACAGCAGCCCCTGGGCTCCTGCCTCTCTCTGCAGAGTCCCAGAGATGCTGCAGCCCAGAGCTGAGCGATGCTGGACCAGTTGGGCCCTTAAACACTCCCCACGTTTTGTGCTTTGTCTGTGAAAACCCCAAAATCCCCCCCAGAAGTGGCTGTGCCCCATCCACACAGAGGCAGCACCGCCGGGAAACCGAGTCCTACCACCCATCCCTTTGCTTCTCCCACCCTGCGCCTCTGGGAGAGGTTTGGATCAACATCATCTTGTGCAGAGACCAGATGTGGGCCATACCCCCAGCTCCTGCAGCAGCAGTGAGTGAAGGCACAGGGCTGCTCCACCACCCGAGCACCAGCTGAGAGTCCCAAACCAGGGACACCCGGGACACGTGGAGGTAGCAGGGATTGCTCTCAGCAAAGGCAGGACTTGGCCCTTGCACCCCTCAGCCTCAAGGGGCCGGTGGGCACCGTCCTGGCAGTCCTGTGGCAGCTCTGACACAGGCTGAGGGCCCTGGCAAAGCAAAACCAGTTTGCAACAAGCCCGTTTTCCACCAGGTACCAGGCAAAGCCTGTGGAGACGCCGCATCCTCCCTGGCGAGGGGCTGCCTCCTCCCCATGGAGCTCGGGGCCCAGGAGCCAAATGCCAGCCACAGGGAGCACAACGTGACATCAGGAGAGAGCAGGAAAGCCAGCCAGGCTCTCCTGGCACCTCCCGTGGCTTGGGAGTGAAAAAAAATCCCTGGAGGTGCCAAGGGAGTTAAAATAAATAAATATCCCTGGTGACAGGGGTAACGGGACCCTGAGCTCCTTGGGGCACCCATGGCAGAGGAGCCGTGGGGGGAGTGAGGGGAGTCCTGCTCCTGCCTGCACCCCGAGATCCCCACTCCTGCCTGCACCCCGAGAGCCTGCTCCCCTCTGCACCCTGAGACCCTGCTCCCCTCTGCACCATCCCATCGCCATCCCCTGCCTGACCAGACCACACGGAATGACCCTGCTCAAACATTTCAAAGCACAGGAGGCAAACCCTTATCTTCCACAGGAAAAGAATTATTTTATTAAGCATTTTTAAACAACTACTTAACATTTACTCAAGATAAAAATATGTACAATATCCCACCTTGAGAAGGAGGCTCCAAAATATAAACACTGTACCTCTCCCGAGAGAAAAACGGAATATTCTTCTCCTCAAAAAAAAAAAAAGACAACCCAGAAACAAGAATACATTCATATTTCTCACTTCTTTATGCTCAAGTAGTTATACAAATAATAGACATCTGAAACGTTTTACCTTTTAATATCTTTATATAATATATATATATTTATAACAGGATTTTACAAATAAAGGCAACAACTGTTGTTTACCAAAAAAAAAAAAAAAAACAAACAAAAACCCAACAATAAAATAAACGTTAGAACACAATCTGCAATCAAGCATAGTGCATCTCAACAGCTGGTGCAACGGGAAGGCGACAGGAGGATCCAGACAATTGGGTTCTTCTGGCCACCAGTTCTCAAAACCAGTCAGAAAAAAAACCACCAAAGAGCACTGCCTTTTGCAGTGAAGTCTGGGGTTTTTTCCTTAAAAAAAAAAAAAAGGCTAAATGGGAGATGACGTTCCTCTGCAGAGAAAGCCCCTTGCAGTTTAACAGTGTCACCAGCCAACCCCCCTCTCTCCCACAGGGATGTGAGCCAGGGTTTGCCAAGGAGACTGAGGAATTCAGATGCTCAAACCCCGCCGGGATTGGACTCCCTTTGAAAATCCCAGCCTTTTCGTTTTCCAAAGGCACTGACAGGGGCACATTCAGCAGGGACTGTGCTGCCCACTCCGGCTGAACTGCTCCCCCTGGCACGGAGCTGCCCCCTGGAGCAGCTGGGCCGGGAAAACCTCGTGATTCCCGCCAGACCTGGTGAGACTGTACAGCAGCAGCGGGAGAGGCCGGAGTCAGGTGCAGCAAGCCAAGTGATCCATGGGATATTTCCTCCCCAACCCGGCCCGAAGTAGCAGCTCAAGTTACAGGAAGGGGCGCAGGTTAATTGATTTATTAGATGTATGGAAAGCTCCAAGCAGCAGCTACCTTTTATTTCTGAAAAACAGATAAATGTATCAGCGAAGATGTGGAGAGAAACCCATCTTAGGTCTACCTGACCCTGCATGACCAAGCAGTGACCACTGCCCTGCTCCTCCTACGCTGCTGGTGGCATTGCCACCACCACAGTGACCACTACCCTGCTCCTCCTACGCTGCTGGTGGCATTGCCACCACCACAGTGACCACTGCCCTGCTCCTCCTACGCTGCTGGTGGCATTGCCACCACCACCACACCCCGCCTGGGGTCACTCAGACCCCGGTGACCAGTGCAGCACCCACCAGTCCAGCTCGACCTGGACAGCAGAGCCGTTGCCCTCGGAGCCGCTCAGGGAAGTACCGTGTTTCACGTTCGGGTATTCTGGACGTGCAGACCCTCAAACCAAGTCTGCCCAATGGAATATTTCTTCACAGCTTTGCAGTACAGTCACAGCTGACCGAGTCAACTGTTGCTCTGTAGATGTGGAGAGGGAAGAAGGGCAGGGGTAAAGAACAAACCCCTTCTTTTTACTTTTTAATCTTTTGGAAGAAGTTGTGAATCGCTAAGCTGGGTGCATCCTTCATCCTTCTCCAAGCTACCTGACAGGTCAGAGAAAAGGGGATTTAGCTTCCTATGTGCAGTGAACTTTATCCCCACACCTCAGTCCAGCCAATATAGAAAAGTGAAACAGTCTCAAACTAAAAAAAAAAAAAAAACAAGAAAAAAAGAAAACAAAGGAAAAAAACCAGTCACACTGCACTTAGTCTTTGGTTTCCAAGTTCAAAGGAGGAATCTGCTTCAAAGCTTGCAGCAGAGCCGAGGAGTCGATGGGGGAATGGGCCGGGACAGGAGAAGGGAGTCTCTGGGGCATCAGCAGAGGGGGGGAGATTTTGTCGGGGCTCATGAAGCCCGTGAGTGCTGCGGCAGAGGTCGGCAGGCTGGGGTACAGCACGGGCACCGAGGCCGGGTACCAGCACTTCTCCAGCATGGGCAGGTAGGCGGTGGCAGACGGCGGGATCAGGTAGAAAGGCAGGCACAGGGGAGGCTGGTGAGCGTGGGGGCCCAGGAAGCTGCTGGAAGAGCCCATCATGTCGCTGCCGAAAGGGCCCTCGTCCTCGGGCGACTCCAGCCTGCTCCTTTTGGCCGGCGGGTCCTCAGTCTCTTGCTTAATAGAGCTTATTCTCTCCTGCACGGCGAACTTGAGGTCGGTATCCTTTTTGAAATAGGGCTGCTCGGGTTTGGAGTCACTTTTCTCCAGCTCCCCCCCGTAGCCGCTGTCCGTGTCCGTGTCGCTGCCGCTCTGCTCCCCGCTGGAGTGAGCGAATGTCCGCTGGATCACGGGCACGCAGTTCTTCCCGTGGCCCTCGCCCGCCGTGCCCAAGGGCACCGGCTTCTCCTTCAGGTCCACCATTTTGGGGGGGATGTCCCCGGCCTTGCGGGGGGCCCCGCCCTGCAGCACCTCGCTGGCCATGCGGTGCAGGTGGCTGACCAGCTGCGACGACTTCAGCTCCTTGCCGTTCTCGTGCTTCGCCAGGTATTGCAGCATTTCCTTGGCACACATCTGGAAACCCGATCGAAACATTTCCTGGCTGGAATCAAGGTTTCTCGATGACAGGTCACCTAAGGGAACATTAACAGAAAGAAATTAAAAATTAACAGCATGCTAAATAGTTCCACTTCCATCTTTGAGAGGGATCGGAGATGATATTGGACCTGGGGTACAGCACAGCCAGAGGGGACTGCGACGGTCACCCTGGACCCCATGAACAGAAATCCCGGGATTTCTGCAAAAATGGACATTTTCACTGGAACATCCACCTGTCCACTTTTACATAACAGCTTTAAGCTTATTTTTCATTCTGTATTCACTGCAAAATCCACCTTCAACAGGTGCTGGAGCACAGGAGTGAGTCAAGCTGTGCCTTCCCCAGGAACCACCCCGGGACCGCAGGGTGCACCTCGCCCTGCACCTCCGGGCAGGGAGCTCCGGGAGCTGCTCCACCAGCAGCTCCACCAGCCCCAGGCAGCTCCACTGCACTCCCCGTGGCTGCCGGGGCAGGGACGGCTCCTCCAAAAACTCAGTTTTGCTTTATCAGATTCACGTGAGTGCCACATGTGAAAACAGGAGGAGGAAGTGCACCTAAAGCTGATAAGCTGAAACACTGAGTCCCTTCTGTCTGCAGAGCACAGGCCAGCACAGTTATACAGAAACTTTAAAAAGGTGTGTACAAAAACCAGATTTGTATCTGTTTTCAGAGAAAAACAGCCAAACAAACCCAACTGGCTTATGTAAAGCTCACGAACACTAATAATGGGAAGATGTGGATAGCTCTAGAGAGAACCTCACAGCAAACCTGGGCTTTAACTACAACTACTTAAACCCCAGCTTGATTACAAACAACCCCACAGGGCACTGACCACGGTGAGAAATGCATCTTTTTTTGCAAGAGCTCGTAAGCAAAGCCAGAGAAAATGACAGTGATGAAAGGCCAGAGCTCCTGCCTCCTCCCTTCCCAGGAACGAGGTGGCACAACCACGTTTCGCAGCCTGCCCGGAGAGTCCCTCACACACAGGGGCTCGCACGGCACCGCTGAACACTCACCTGCCTGCAAACCACTCTGCAGAGCCATGATCTTCTGCTGCTGCTGCTCGATGAGATTGGTCAGTGCCTTCACGTGCTTCAAGGTGAGCTCCAGCACCACTGCCTTCTCCAGGTGACCTAAGGTCTGGGAGCACAGGGACAGGTTGGTGCCTGCCGCGGGGCTGGACACACAGGCAGGAGCCCGTGGGGCTGCCAGAGCCCTCCCAGCAGCCCAGGGAGGACGGGCACGGTGTGATCCTGAGCAGTGCAGGACTATAACCAACAATGTTCCACGGAAATAAGTTAAAAAGCAGGCTCCGGGAAAGGCTCTCACAGAACCCGATGGGTATTTTCGGACCAGCCGCGTAGCTCAGGAGAAGCCCTTTATTTATCCGTTCTGCTGCCCCTGCTGGCACCGCGACCTGAGCCCAGGCGAGTCTTGGGGAGCCCGGCCGGGGGCTCCTCTCGCCCGGCAGCGAGGGGGGCTGTCAGGCGGGCAGCTCCCGCAGGGACCCGCAGCTCATAAAGCCACCCGAGGGCTTCCCTCCCGGGAAAGTTTGGGATGCGCTTACAACCCGTCGGGGCGTGCAGCACCAGGGAGCAAAAACACAACCCACCCCAAATCCGCGGCGAAGCGGCAGCACAGACCCGTCCATCCCCCGGCCCCGGCGCTCCGCCCGCCGCTCGCACCTACCGTGAGCTTGAGGTGCTCGGGCAGCAGGTCCTTCAGCTGCGCGATGCACTCGTTGATCCTGTCGCGCCTCTTCTTCTCGATCAGCCTGTGCGGCAGCTTGTAGGTCTCCTGCGGGGTCGGGGGCAGCGGGTCAGAACCCCGCACGGCCCCGCTCCCGCAGCTCCTCCCGCCCCGTGTGTCCCGGGAGCGGCCGGTTCCCATTCCCGGGGCTCCTCCCGCCCCGTGTGTCCCGGGAGCGGCCGGTTCCCATTCCCGCTGCTCCTCCTGCCCAGTGTGTCCCGGGAGCGGCCGGTTCCCATTCCCGCAGCTCCTCCCGCCCCGTGTGTCCCGGGAGCGGCCGGTTCCCATTCCCGGGGCTCCTCCCGCCCCGTGTGTCCCGGGAGCGGCCGGTTCCCATTCCCGGGGCTCCTCCCGCCCCGTGTGTCCCGGGAGCGCTGCCACTGCCGGGGCGCGCAGTGCCCGAACCGCCCCGTTAACCCCCAATTTCCCCTCACCACCCCCCGATTTCCCCTCACCACCCCCCGATTTCCCCGTCACCCCGCAGTTACCTTGTTGTCCTCGCTCCTCTTCAGCCCCCTGCGGGGCTTGTACACCTGGTACATGTGCGCGAAGTCCAGCCTGCAGGGGTGCAGAAAGCAGAGCCGCGCGTTACCCCCGGCCCGGAGCCGCTCCCCACCCCGCGCCGCCCGGAGCCCCGCGGAGCCCCCCGCTTACCCCGGCAGGTCCGCGCCGTCCAGGGCGGGCAGTTTGGCCAGGCAGGCGGGCGGGGGCTGCGCGCTGGGGATGCGCTCCATGGCGGGGGCTCAGGGGCTGCGGGCGATGCCGGCGCTGCCGCTGCTGCTCATGCCGCGCCCGCGCCGCGCGGGCTGAGGAGCGGCGGGCGGGCCGCGGGCCGGGTTAAATGCGGGCGAGTGGGTGGACGGGAGCGACGTGCGGAGCCCTGTGACCGCCGGCACGTCTGGCGGCCCCGGCGCCCCCGCCCCGCGTCACATGAGCCTCACGTGGCGGCGGCGCGGGGGGAGGCGGGGCCGCCCCGACCGGCCCCCCCGCACGTGTGTCCCGGCGCGGTGGCACCGCCGCTCCGTGTCCCCGCTGTCCCCGCTGTCCCCGCTGTCCGTCCCCGCCGTGCCCGTGCTCCCCCACCGTGTGCGCCGAGATCGGGGAAAAATAACTCAACCCCCAAAAGCGACAAACGCGGACCCGGAGAAACCGGCGGCTGCGGAAGTTTGGAAGTGTGGGGAAAAAAAAGTAAAATATAACTGAGAGTCACTAAAATGTGGCTCTGGGTAAATGTCGGCGCTGCAGGGGAAGTTTAGGGCTGGTAGGACCCCATCCCTGGGAGTGTTCAGGGCCGGGTTGGGCAGAGCAACGTGCCCTAGTGGAAGGTGTCCCTGCCCATGGCAGGGAGGTGGAATGAGATGGGCTTTAAGGTCCTTTCCAGCCCAAACCATTCTGTGATTCAATGAGGTATTTTCAGGAGGAAATCCTTCCCTGTGAGGGTGGGCAGGCCCTGGCACAGGGTGCCCAGAGAAGCTGTGGCTGCCCCTGGATCCCTGGGAGTGTCCAAGGCCAGGTTGGACGGGGCTTGGAGCAGCCTGGGCTGGTGGAAGGTGTCCCTGCCCATGGCAGGGGGTGACACTGGAGGGGCTTTAAGGTCCCCTCCAGCCCAACCCACTCCGTGATTTCCCATGCTTGCATGAAGGATCTGCAGCCCGTGGACACTGTTGCAAAATCCTGAGTGATGATAATGGTGTGTGAGTACCTGCCAAGGCAAAGCTCTCCTGAAGGGCCGTGGTCACTTCCCTGCTGAATGCTGAGCAAGTAGAGGCAGGCTCATCTGATAAAGGGCGCATTTACCCAGATAAGGGAACAGCAGAGCTCCAGCCCAGAGCCACTGCTATCGCCTGCAGAGTCCTGGCCTGCTCCACCTCGGGAGGAATCCGAGGGCAGCAGGTACTGTGTGAGAGCACAAGGACTTTATGCAGGCGTTAACAGCACAGCACTGTTTCAGTGACTCCCTGAAAGATGCTTGTGTTGTCCCACTCAGCGTGGTCTTCTGGGTGTTTGGCAGCTGAGCCTGCAAACCTGGTGATTATGGCCTGGATTATGGAATCACAGACTGCTTGTGTTGGAAGGGACCTCAAAGACCATCTAGTTCCAACCCCCTGCTATGGGCAGGACCTGCTCCCCCATCTCGAGAGTCGCTGTGGTGCTGCAGCCCCACCACAGAGGAGGGGACGTGGGGACTGAAAATGGAGCACTGAGTACCAAAGGATCACAGCTCCGGGCTCTGCGTCTCTCACAGCAGAGCTTGTCTTTCCTTCAGGCACTGAAAAATTCAGCAGTAACCATCAGAGACATGGGAGTGCTGTGTTTGTCCCTGCTGCAGCTCAGGGGACCATAACCAGCCTCAGTAACGAGCCCTGGATCAGACAGTTCGTTCTCTCTCTGCCCCGAAGACCCAAGCTGTTATTTTCCAAACAAAGGGTGAAAAAAACACGAACAATTTTTCATCTGTCCCATCACTGCTCCTCTGTCCAAGGCAACAGAAATAATTAGAGCTTGCTGAAGCTGATTGCTAATGAAAAATGAGGTTTGGGGCCAACCTGCTCTTCATCTGAAGTTCAGGCTCCGAGAGTACGTGGACGGCTTCATGCCCGTGGATTGTCTGACTCCTGCATGCTCTTTGAGATATTTGGTACATTCCTGCAGTGGGTGGTGAGCCACAAATCAGGGTCAGAGGTAATCCCCAATTATTTAGCCCTTTTACTGTTCTCGTGCTTGCCAAACAATTCTCCATATCAGGATTTACTCATGACCTTAAGGGACGTTGCCAAGGATTTAGGAGTCCCCCTAAAAGGAGGATCCAAATGAAGTTATTACATTCTTGGGCATCAAGTTAGATTGCTCGAGAGTTGAGTTACATTTTCCTGGGGATCAGTTTTCAGAAGCGAGGGCTGATGCAATCATCAATTTGCCTTCTCGCTGGTGTTTGCTGAATTATTTCTATGTGGAGGGTTCCTTTACAAGGCACGATTCAGGCAGCAGCAAAATGTTTAGAAAGGCCGATTTCCTGAAGGCATCGGTGCAGCAGGTCTGCCGAGCGCTCCTCCAGACGGGCTGGGAGTCACAGGACCGCGGCAGCGCGTGGCCAAGGGGATTTGCAGTTATTTCCAGAGGCAGGAGAATACGAGGGCTCGGGGGCTGCTTTGAGGGAGGGCTGGAGATCCGAGCCGCAGGATCTGCCCCTTCCCTGGGACTGTCCCCTTCTGCCCACAGCGATTTGGGGGAAAACGTTCCGAAGATCCCTGGCACCGCCGTCTGATCGCAGCCTATGTGGGCAGCGCCGGGAGTTAACAGATGGGTTGTGGATTCGAGCTTACGATAAGGTTACTGAGGGTGGTTTTGTTTTAAAATGTCTCTTACTTAATATATCCATGAAGGCCAGGCATGTGCCTGTGGCCTGTAATCAAATCGCTGACTCTCCCTCTCTCTCATTTCCAGCAATCCCGTTTCGGGTTACTGGCACCGGAGGTGAAGGCACAGCCACGGCCCGGCCGCCGGGCTGGGCACCGGGCAGGATGCGCTCAGCCCTCGGCATCCTCGGCCCTGCAGCCTCCATCCTGACACCCACTGCTCTCTGAAGGAGGAAGGGTTTCTGTGGGAGTCTTTAAAGGAGCAGGGTGCTCCCCTGAGCTCGGGAAATGTGAGGGCTCTTCCTCTGAGCCTGGCAGCTCTCCAGCTGCAGCACCCAGCTCCGGGGTGGATGGCAGGCAGTGGGTGCTGTCAGCCAGGGGAGACAGTGCCTCTGTCAAACACAGCCCCACCATGGGGTCCGTGGTCCTGCAGTGCGTGGGTCAGTGTGGGATGTATCCAGCCAGGAGCTCCCAGGAGACCTGCTCATCCCATTTCCCGCAGCATCCAAGGCAGGATCAGGGGGTCCCGCCCCCCTCAGCCAAAGGCTGGGTCCCAAGGGACACTGTGGGACCTCCCATTGCAGGGTCTGAGGAGCAGTTTGACGCCCAGCAGGACTCTGGTAGCTGCAGAAGTTCAGTGTGAAGCCTGGTGGTTTCAGCTGTGCCTGTGACTCACTGTCGATAGCACAGCTGGCCGCGCTCGCTGCAGGATCACCCGCCAGTCGGGAGGAGAGATTTAATATTGCAAATATGTGCACCCATCGCTGCTTCATTACATTGGTTTAGGCTGCCACGGGCTCTGCTTGGATCAAGCACTGGGAAAACCCAGTGAGAGCTGTTGTCTCTGTGCCCTCCCTCCGGCACGACCCTGGAGCGCTGCCGGGCACGTGAGAGCTGCAGGAATGACGCTGGCATCGCTCAGCGAAACTCGCCTCAGGACTATTCAAATGAAAGCCATTCCCCTCTTTGAGAAGGGATGTTTGCCAGCACCCAGTGCAGCAGTGGGAGGAATATGTAGGTGGAAACTATTTGGAAGTGGCAAAATTTGTGGACATTAATAAGAGACTTTAGCCCACTTTGATACTGTGTTTAATAAAACATGCCGGCTTCCTGGTGACATCCTGCCCTGCCAAGCCCGGGCAGCTGGGAGCTCATGCTGTTTAACCAGTTCCCTGCTGGCTGGTTGCACCATCTCGTGAGAAAGAACCCCGGGCGAGCACACCCGGCACACCCCGGGGCTGAGCACGGCCCAGCCTCCGTCTGCACATGGCCTGGACCGGGAATCTGGGAATGGGGGCTTGGGAGGGACCTCAAAGATTATCCAGCTCCAACCCCCTGCCATGAGCAGGGACACCTTCCACTAGCCCAGGTTGCTCCAAGCTCCGTCCAACCTTGGACACTCGCAGGGATGGGGAGTTCACAACCTGAGAGCCATTTCAGAGGTGACATCGGGGTGCTGCGCTGGCTGGGTGGTCTCTGCAGAGCTCAGGTGATGGTGAGGGGTGATCCGCTGTTTGGAGGGGCTGGGAGGAGCAGGAGTCTCCTCTCCTCCTGGTGACAGGTTGTCTGGTGCCTGCACTGCACGGAGGGATCTGATCACATCCCTCCTCCTGCCTCACATCAAACAGTGAGTCAGCGCTGGAGCCCCGTCAGATGTCTCTGCTCCGGCTTTCATATCTGGGAAAGCAGGGAGGATGGTGCTCTGAGTATGCAAAGCAAGGAAAGCAGGGTGCCTTCAGATCTGCCCCTTGGAAAATACCACGGTGTTTGTTCTGCACTGGCACCCACGCACCCCGTGGAATCGGCACCGCCGGGGCTCGGAGTCTGGGGAGATGTTGATCTTTCTGGGGGCCGCAGGTAACAACAGCCACGGGGCCAAACTGCATCACCTCTGAGTCAAATATTAACATAGAAAATACTCTGAACTCGCTAACTGGGTTAAAAAAATGATGCACACACCCCTAAAAATAATAGTAATAAAATAAAGCCAGAACAGACAGAAGAAGGGCCTGAGAGTGTGTTCCTCCTGCAGGTCACGTCAGGACATGGATGAGCCCTCTCACCTTGACCTCTGAACCCCAAGGCCTGTGTGACCTGTGGGCTCACAGGGTGTGAGGTGCCCAAGGATTGGGCCAGGGGGGATTTGGTTCCAGCTGTAAATGCCATCAGCACAGTGGCAGAGCTTGGGCTGCTCGTCAGGGCACAGACAGAGGTGGAGGAGGATGTGGCAGGTCCGCCTGGGGAGCTGGGGAGACAGAGCCTGGCAGCAGCTGAAGAGCTGCCCAGGGAGGTGGTGGAGTCACCACCTCTGGAGGTGTTCAAGAGGCATCTGGATGTGGCACTTGGGGACGTTGTTTAGGGGTGGTTATGGTGGTTCTGAGTTGATGGTTGGATTGGATGATCTTGAAGGTCTCTTCCAACCCTTATGATTCTGTGTGGTTCTGGGAGGGGGCACATGGGGAGCCCAGCTGGACTTGTGCCAGGATGCCACCAACTCCTGTGGCTGGAGATAAGGGAGAACAAGCCTGAGTGCTGCATGTGGAGCTGCTCATCCCAGCCTGGTCTTTGTGTGATCCTATGGGATCGAGTACCTGCGTGTGTGTGGGGTGCCCCATGGCTGGCCCAGGGCTGCAGCTGCCTGCATTAACCAGGCTCTGCTTAAAGGCGGGTGGATGTCTGGTTGGGAGAGGAAAAGTGATTATTGGCACTCCAACTCATCAGGACTTAATGAACATTTGGCCCCTTGGAAGAAATGGGATGCAAAGAAAATGAAGTCAGAAGGGGAAGTGCAGGTGCACAAGCTCATTCGCACCAGGCTAGACAAATCATACACATGAGATTGTTTCCTAGTCAGGCAGACTTAACAAACCCTTGGACACGAATATCATTCAGCTCTGGGGCAGTCTGGAGCAGCCGTGGGAGAATGCAACCCGTCATTTTCTAAATAAGAAGCCAAACCTCTGAATCCAGATCCTCCTCCTCCCAAAGTCCTGGTCTGATCCCATGTGCATCATGAGCCAGATGTGGCTTGGGCATTACTGCTGCTGCAAATTCAGCTGAAATAAGCACAAAGAGGAATTAAATGGAATAGGAAATATTCACGGTGGATTTGTGCCTAATCAAGATTACACACAGCTCTGCTGACTGTGCTCCTCTGGCGGGGAGCCCGACCCCTCCTGGATCCCCCCTGGACCCCTCCGTGACTCACAGAGACACCTACTCTGCACCTCGGGTGGAACGTGCCCATATTTAGGGAGAAAACACAACCCACCAGGACAGAGAGAGAGGCAAAGGACACTCGAGGCATCCCCACGAGCAGTAGTAGTTGACAGGAATGTCTCTCATAGTGCCCTTCCCTCTGTATCAGCAGGGATCTGGCTGAGAAGTCCTGGAGCAAACCACAACTGAGGGTGTTGCTGTCTTCCCCAAATACTTTCTCTAATGAGGTTTTTAAATAGTTTTGCCCCGCCTACACTGGCAGCCAGAGCACTTTCATCTCCAGGTGAATGGGAACCGAGGTGGGACTCAGCTGTCTGCCGGGAGGATCATTTCCATATTGCAGGAGGCGGCAGGAGAACCCGCGCAGGGGCAGGGAATGCTCCGGCTCCTCTCGGAGCTCATCCCGGCACAAACGTTCACCTCGAGCGCCGGTGTTTGAAATGCAGAGAGCTCGCCGGCAGGGTGGGCTGGCAGGACAGGGGGTGCCTCTCGGTTTACACCCTCACGCCCATGAGAACGGCCAAGAGCCAGCAGGTACCCGCTGGAAAAATGAGGTTTGCGAGCAGGACTCAATTTGTTACAACCTGCTCCGAGTAACCGCACACCTTTCGTTCTTAGGTGGCAAAGATCACGTCTGTCCCGGAGGGTTTTTGGTGGGTGTGGAAGCACTTTCCACAGAAGCGCATCTCGCCCCCTGCCCAGCGCTGGCTGCCGGCGGAGCGGCGCTGACGCCGCTGGGAGGGAGTGCTCGCCCACCCGAGTGCTCGCCCACCCGAGTGCTCGCCCACCCGGCTGGAAAAGACCTGCAGTATCATCCAGTCCCCCCTGTGCCCGATGCCCACCCTATCCCCTGCCAATGCCTGACCACCCTTTCCAGGGAGAAATTCCTCCTGATGGCCAGCCTGCCCCTCCCCTGGCACAGCTGGAAGCCGTTCCTTCTCATCCTGTCCCTGGTTCCTGGGAAAACAGGCTGACCCCCTCCGGCTCCCCCCTCCTGTCAGGGAGTTACTGAGAATGAGGAGGTCCCCCCAAGCCTCCTCCTCTCCAAACCTGCCTCCACAGAGTTGTCTCCCATGGGGATCATGAAATCCTAGAATATCCTGAGTTGGAAGGGACCCACCAGGATCATCCAGCCCAGCTCCTGGCCCTGCCTGGGACACCCCAAGAATCCCACCAGAGTAGGCACCGTGTTGGCCTCACACAGCTGCTCTGAGGGGCTGAGTGTGGGGTCTGAGAGGTCAGACGGGGCTCTTCTTCTAAGAGAAAAGGAATCATTTCATCCCAAAATATCCATGTGGGCTATATCCCAATAATCTGGGGAGACAGAAATGGCCACACAAGCTCATTACAACTGTCCCTTCTCATTTTATAAACTGCACGTCCGTGGGATGGAAATAAAGTCCCAGCCCTGGGGAGCTGTGAACATCTGCAGCTGCTGCCCAGATGTGGTTGCCCGGAGCCTGTGCAGAGGTTTCAGGGGAAAACCCCCATCTGCCTCTCTCAGAACACCAAAACAGAGGACAGAGGTTTCGCTTCATAAACCTCAACCAAGGAGACATTAAGTGCCTTTGATCTCCAGATAGAAAAATGATCTTTTGATTTTCAGATTATGAAAAGGAATAACCATCTGCTAAGAAACAGCTCCGGACCCACGTTTTATTGAGGCCAGATGGTGTCCAGGGTTCCTACGTATGAATTCAATTAGCTGCTTGTGTCTGCGTCAGTGAGTCTGTATCCACCCAGTCATGTTTTTGGAACAAATATTGTAATATTCCCATGGATCCTCCAGACAGTGGGAGGTGTTTCCTTCACTGTGAAGGTTTTGGGAAGTGGTGACTTTGTCTCATTTTCATCTTGCCCTGCTCTGCATTTCTGGTCGCCCGGTTCTCAAGGCTCAGGGCTTTCCCTGGATCTCTGAGCCAGCTGTGCTGATTCCAGTTTGCCCATCAGGGCTGACATTTCGGCCCCAGGGAACCTCTGCCGTCCACCTTTCCTGCCCTGGGACTGAGTTTACAGCATTATTTGGAATATAACCCATTTCTAACCCAAGCCAGACCTGCTCCAATCTCCTTTCCACGGTGCTTACCAGGGGTTTACTCAGGGCTTAGCTCTGCTGAGAGCAAGGTACCTCTTGCCACCACCTTGCAGTCTGGAAGGGTGGCACGATGGGAAGGCCTTTCCCAGGATTCAGAGGGTGGGAATGACCAGCCCCCACCCCCAGCACGGACAGACTTCCTGCCTGGACAGCCTGGCTCTGCAGAACCCAATTAGCTCCTCTCATCTTTCCAATCTAATAATCTGGAACTCCCTGTTGTGTTTTTTTTTTTTTTTTTTTTTTTATAAAGGTGTGGCTCAGCACCACATGATACACTCAACAAGCTGCATATTTGCACTGATTTCCCTCTCTACGGTGTTGGAAGTGGGAAAGCTCTGTTGTGGGAATGGGCTGGGCAGCAGCCCCGAGAGCAGCAGGTTGTGATTCAGGGCTGGAAGGGCCTCACTCACAACCCACACCTTCCTCTGCATCCTGGGAACTCACCTGCACGAGAGACAGCCTCTCCTGTGGCTCCTGAGCAGGAACTACCCTTAGCAAAGGGACCTCACAATTTGGTGTTTTTTCCTCACTTTCAGGGGAGGGAAGGGGCTGGCAAGCTAAATTGCTATCTATAGACACATTTATTCCCAGGGTTCCTTTTCCCCTCCTCTTTCTGTGCACATCCAAGTGCACACAGACACTGCAGGTCTCCCCACCCCCAGGCTGGGCACAGGGGCTGGAGTCAGGGGCTGCCACTGCCCACGGTCCCTCGTTTCAGGGTTTCTCACCTGTGACCTGTGTTTGACTCCGGTTTCACGTCACAGGGAATGCTGGAAGGTCCATCCTCTCCCTGCCTTTCCAGCCATGGAATCAGTGTCCATCCAGGCACGCTGTGGCTGCTGTGCCTGGGAATCCCCGAGGGGACCTTTCCGGGCTGGCTCTGCTGTTCCCGCTGCACGGCCGTGATTAGAGCCCTATTACCAAATTACAGGATTATAAACACAATAACGCACGGGGAAACTGCTCATGTCCAGTGATTTCTCCTGTTAAAAATGAAACACAAGCCCCTTAGCAGATGGGTTTTGCAAAGAAGAGCTCTGAAGGAGCAGCCGGGAGGGAAGAGCTGCAGAGAGGAGGGATGAGAAAATGGAGCAGGTTCTCATTAGGGTGCAATGCGTGTGATAATTACTTGAGGAAGCATGAGGGAAGGCAGGGCTCATTTCATCCTGGATCCCACAGCGACTGCAGGCTCCCTGTGCACAGCTGCTGTGGGCCTGGAACACCATTTTACAGCTCTGCCCAACCCAAGGATTCCTCGCTCCCTCCTTCCCAGGAATTCTCAGGAACCCTTATCTGATCCAACATGCCACTTGGGGTTTTTCCTTCCCCTTGATGCTGAACTGTTACTGCAGTTATTGCTCCCAAACCAGGATTCCAGGCAGCTGGTTTGATACCCATAAACACGGATTACTCAACTTCACACCCTACTCGTCACCCTCCATTGAAAAACTCATGCTCATCCCACCATGCCATTCCCACATGTCCTGGATTTCCACCCTCACAGCGTGCCTTACTCAAGGGCCCCACCAAAGCTCCTTGGATCTGCTGGCAGGTCCTTTGGGATTCCCTTACCACAGCAGGTGGCAGCTTTTGGGCTCCCAAACCTCGAAGCAGAACCTTCCAGAAAACACTAAATCCACCCACCCCTCCCCTCTGCCATCACACGTTACCAACGTCACCCATCTCAAACCATTTTGAGGAAGGTTAAGAGTTGGCTGGTTGTAGCCAAAGCTGTGACTAATATTTTTTGGGGAAAGTACTTTATGTCAAAACAAGTGAGTAGTGAAGTGGAGACATGTGGTGCAGAGATGTGGGAAGGAGGGAGGGGCTTTCTGGTGCCAAATTTCCCTGTTCCCTTAAGGGAGAACCCAAACTGCCTTATTTCTTCATGTAGAATGAGACAGAGAAGGAAAACTTCCTGCTTTATTTCTTATAGAACCTCGTATTTCTAGAAAGCTGCTGAATCACCCCCTTATGATAGGTTGTCATGGAAGAGGGTCCCTTGGCTTGCCCTGGTGGCCCAGGCCAACCCTCCCTGTGGGTTCCAGAGCCGTGGGAGCCATTGGAGCCCCTCGTGGTCCCCCCTGAGCCCAGCCCAGCGCAGGCTGGAGCTGCCACTGCCCCAGAACAATCCCTTTTCCTCACGGCTCCTTCCCGCAGCCTGCAGAGGCTGCAGGTTTCAGGCTTTCCCAGCCTTTTTCCCAGCCAGAGCAAGGTGTGCAGACACCTGGAAAAGCAGTCAGCGGGGTCGAGCCCCAGGGACAGCCGATGCATCCAGGCTCATTCCTTACGAGCCAGAGTCAGGTGTGTTCTACGGGAACGTGTGGGCTCTGTGACTTTGTAAGGGAAATGTAACCAATTAGTTTTAGTCATTTAGAGGAGGGAAAGGACTCAGCCCTCAGAACTGCTTTGCTTCCCCAAGTTATTCAAGCCCTTTGGAGCCACATACATTTGCTTATTAACGAAGTGACTGTGCTGGCCGAGCCTCCTCCTGCTCTCTGGAGCCGAGGGTGGTATGGAAAGAGGCAGAGCCCGGCATGTCCCAGTGCCTGCGGAGGCTCAGCTGCAGAGCTCATTTCCTATTTACATCCCAAAAAAGCCCAGTTCAGCACAGGCTGCTGCCTCTGCAGCCAGCGAGGTGCGTTCTGCAGGTGTGGGTGGGTGATTCACCCTGCGCCAGCAGCACCCACGGGTTATCTGCGTCCTCCGGCTCCCGGTGCTTCCCCAGCCCAGGCAATTCCAAGCACACCCAAATAAAGTCCCAAATCAGTCCTGTCTGGCCTCACCCTCTTTCTCAGCAGAGGGTTTGGATGGTTTCCACATCTCATTTTGTCTTCCTCCCAGAGGAAGTCCGCCCTACAAGCAACTCCCCGTGAGGGCCTGAGCCAGAAGGTCAGACCTCGCCTGCTGCCCTGCTCCTGATTTCTCCTGATGGGAGTAACAACCTCCAAGTCTCTCCGACATCCCAGATGGGTTTTCCTCTTCCCTAAACACAGCATTCCCATCCCAGAGCAGCCCAGTTACCTCCTCCTGCCCCCACGAACCCCTCTCAGCCCCAACGCTCCCTGCTCTGAGTGGCACAGCCCAGAGTGGGGGAGTCCCAGGTGAGCCCTGGAGCTGGGGGGGGTCATTGGGGGTGATATCTGTCCCCACTGACAGCTACAGTGAGACAGCAGGGAATGAGGAACTGCACGTGGAAATGAAACATCCCGTGGTATCCCCCTTTTAGCAGGGCCTGTTGTGACATGACAAGGGGGAATGGCTTCCCACTGCCAGAGGGCAGGGTTAGATGGGGTACTGGGAAGAAATTCCTCCCAGTGAGGGTGGGCAGGCCCTGGCACAGGGTGCCCAGAGAAGCTGTGGCTGCCCCTGGATCCCTGGAAGTGTTCAAGGCCAGGTTGGACGGGGCTTGGAGCACCCTGGGCTGGTGGAAGGTGTCCCTGCCCATGGAACGGGTTGGAACAAGATGATCTTTAAGGCCCCTTCCAACCCAAACTATTCCATTTTTCTATAAACAGCTGCCTGAAGCCCGTCAATGTTGGCTACTCTTTCAAAACTCATCGGAAATACTAAAATACACTGATTTTGGTTTGCCATCCCTGGGGAACAGTG